GCTGAGCGGGCTCCTTGGTAAGTGGGGCTGTGCAGGGCTGAGCGGGCTCCTTGGTAAGTGGGGCTGTGCAGGGCTGAGCGGGCTCTGTCAGGGGGCCACACCTGGCTCTTTACTAAGTGGGACTCTGCGAGGCTGAGCGGGCTCCATTTGCGGCCTTGCTTTTGCTCTGGGCTCATCCAGAGGTCCCGAAACCCTCTTCCCCACTGTGGCCTGGGGTTTACTAAGTGTTCCTCGGGTAGACTGACATTTATTTCTGTTTTGAACCAGGTTTCTGTCTCTCAGCGCCGGTCAGACAACGCTGTCGCGAGAGAGATGGCTCCGCGCCAAGCAGCTCGAGTCCCTGAGGAGGACCAGGCTTCAGCAGCAGAAATGCGTGAACGGAAACGAACTTTAAAGTTGCTGCCCGGGATGAGTAAAGTACAAGCCACAGCCACACTGTAAAATGCAAATGTCATTTCTACCATATTGTTTTGTAGATAATTTGTATTACAAGATAAACTCAAGCCTGGTCTAACATCTGACATTTATATGATGCTCAGTAAGAGCTTTCCCCTTACTGATTTTATGGAGCTTTTGAAGTTTGTTTTATAATTATATAAATTAGTAATGATGTACAAAAATGTATTTGATATTAAAATTTAATATTGATAATGTTGCTGATGACACATTTCCTTAGGCCAGACTCTGCTGAAATGCTAATGGTTAACTTCAAATGGTGATTTCAAAATCAGAGGGAACTGTTCATGTCAAATTTGCCCACTGGTCAGTTTGGGAAATGGGGCGTGTGTGCCGTTGAACGGGACTCAGTCAGGGCCTGGAGAAGGACTGCCCTGCCATCGCCCGAATGTTTGACCACAGCAGCTCTTGTTCCACACGTCCGAGCTATCAGCACCCTGCAGGGTAGCCTCTTAAACGGCACTGATTCCCAGGATTTTTTGGACGTGCTTGCCAATTTGTTTTGCCAAGTAACCTGAACTAAATCACTGTGTAGTAAAAATCCACTTTGTGTGGAGTAAATGCAGCTGTTTGAAGGTGGACCCCTTCGTTGCCTCTTGCCCAGTGCATCCGGGAACCTCAGGAATGAGTGTTGCCCTGCAAAGGGGTTTTGCCCTTTAAAAGAATAGAGCATAATCATCACCTTAAAGAAATGCTCTCTTTAGAATAAAAGGTTTTCCATTATTTTACTAATAAGTGTCAATTTAGTTGCTTTGATTATATTAGATTTTTAACTCAGTAAGTTTCGTTCCTGTTGTGTTAGATCAGATCATACGATCTGCTAGTTTATGGCTCGCGGCAAGTGAAGGTCAATTTCTCCCAGGCCAGTTAGTTTAATGCAGACTTTTTCAAGAACAGAATCATCACATTCATAACTAAATGGGAAAGGAATAATGCTTTAGTTGTATAATGGTGGCAACAGGAACCTTTGGAAAGGTTAGATCTGTTACTTTTTCTATGCTATCAATCGCGTCTGTAAGGATTTCTTTTAATTAGTAATAACCTAGTGAGAACATTAGAAGCCAGCTGATTCCTTCACTCCTCTCCCGTACGGCCTACATTGACAGTGCTAATCAAGGAAACAGGGTCAGCCTTGAAAATCAAGGGATTTGTTATGCCTCCTGAATTGAAATGAAAATTACTAATTGTTTGACAACATTGTTAACTTTTCCTAAACACAAATCTATTTTTATAAACGAATGTAAATAATTTGTTTATATTTAGAATTCTAACTGGTTTTCATTTTTATAACTTAGACTAGACCATAAACTTTTAGAAATAAAAGGAAGGCTCAACTGGATTTGTGAGAAAATTCATTTTCTATAACTGGCCTAGAGTAGATTAGTCACAAATGTGTTTCTTGTGCCAATGTGAATTGTAATTTACCAAAGAGAAGTATGTCATTTGCTTGGTCTTGCAGAAAAGTCCCTTGGAAAGAGAACTGGTTCCTCTTTCAAATAAATAAAATTTCCAAATTACAAGTACTTAAAGCTGTTTTCATGAATTCTTCTTCTCCATGTCTGGGTGACCTGTATGCTGTTTATCCTCTGACAAGAAATCATTACCAAATGCGCAGGGAGGGAAAGGCTAAATTCCTCCTGCATGCGCATTCCCCAGGCCGGAGAGCAGACTCCTCACGTATCTGCCACCCTTCTCTTCCTTGAGAGACTCAATCCTTGTGACATTCCTGCGCATATTCAATGGATCGATCTGACTTCAAGGACAAAACTCAACCACTAGGACATTAAGTATCCTTATTACCTTAGTGGAACTATGCATTAAGATGTGTTTTTAAAAAGCTCCTTGAAAGTAATTTACATGGCACATAAATGTTTATTTTATGGTATGTCCTGAGCTGTGTTCCCTCGTACATTGTGGAAGAGTAATGTACATGCTCAACCCAGGGACCAAGCTGTTCAAGCGTAACAGCTGGGAAGCACATTATAAAGCCATCAGACCCTCCGGAGGAGTGAGAGACATGGGAAGGTGGGAGCCAGCCAGTGCTCAGTCAATGTGCCCCGTTTATAAATTCCTCAGTGCTTTAAAATCAAGCCCTTATCCGGTTGCTTTAAATTACAGTGGCATTTTATTTTAAATAGTCACAAGATCTGACACTTCAAATAAAAGACACCACCAATAAATAACAAAAGTGGAAATATTTATCAAAGTTACAACAGACATAATCTTTAGCTGAGAATCACTTCAGAGTAAGGCTCTAACGATACCAGACAAACCAATACTTAATTGGAATATGATGTGCAGCTTCCTCACTTGTGTGGGGTCCGAGAAGAGGCAGTGGTCCTGTGTGGTCAGGATTCTGGTCCTAAAGCCAGTTTGCACACAGTTGTGCTTCAGGCTAAATTTTCTACAGCTGTCATAGTCTACGCGGGCTATTGAGGAATGTACCCTGGGGGGAGAAGGAAACCTGATGATTTCTTTCTGTAATTATCAGTAGCTAACACAGTCTCCCTGGAACCAGGGGCGCCAGATTGGATAGGATGCTGGTATCCACATCTGTTGGACCCAGGTTCACAGCCCACGAGGAAGCTGAATGCTCCCAGTCTCTGGGCTATAAGCTGCAGAATAAATTTGAGTCAAACCAGTGACAGGACGGTCAGCAACCCTCTGTTAGCTTGTCACAGAGAATGGTTAAGCTATAAAAACTGAACCAACAGCTCCTTGTATTCAGATGCTTTTCCATCCTCATGACATCTTAAAGTCACTAAAAACATATTGCCTACCCTGTACAGGTACTAAATACAGAAGAATAAACCAGAAAGAAACCCCAAACACCGACAAATGGAAAATGATGAAAAATGCCAATCCCCCAGTGTGTCCGTGCCCATCATTTACATCTGCTTCAGACATCCCGTCCACCCACTCACATCCAACATGGTCCAAGCTGGTCTCAGAGATCTGTTCCTAAAGTACTTCAGGATGAGCAACTGCTCCGTAGTGTATAAGCCACACAGATCCACGTGTCCTTGGACGACACACACCTGTCCCGGCTGACCAGTGTGGGAATCTGCTTGGGTCAGACTCCCTTTGAAACCTGTCCCAATAAACATAATTGGGATCTGTGATCCCTGGATGTGAAGACAGTACAAGAAATGAGGCTGAGACGTGAAAACACTTGGTTTCGGATTAAACCAAAGCCCAGGGTTCTTCGTGGCAGAGAACTAAATCTGGATGATTCGCGTCTGGCATTGTGTAAACATGTTTCTGAGCTCGTTCTTCTGGACTTCGTGAAGTGCGTCAGCTTCGGCAGGGCTCTTCTGAACCTTGGCCACTGCCAAGTTGATCCCGTGGGTTAAGCCAGCTTGGGTAATGTTAGCCACCTGGACCATGGAACTCCTGATCTTTGCAAAGGGCGACACTGCTCTGCTGCTGCCGCCGTCTGAAGGAGAAGGGGTTATGTTAAGCCCTGGCTCAAGTTCAAGCACGCCGGACGCGGAGCCTGGGGTCTTTTGAGACACAACTGGACGCCCTGATTCCACCGACAAAAACTGCGGGCCTTTCGCAGAAGAGGACACGTCTAACTGAGACGGTCGGGAGGGGGTCTGTCCCACTGCTTCGGGTTGGGTTTCTTCGTTGGGAACCTTACTGGTCACTTGATGCCCTTCCTCAACAGCCTGCTGAGAAACAGGCCTGGTTTCCAACGGCTGGGTCATTTTATTCTGTGCATCTTGCACAAACCTGTGGCAGTATACATCCACAGGCTTGGCAAAGCCAGTCAATGCGTGTATGTGGTCAGCAGAAGGACTTTTCTTCAGAGATGACTCATGGCCTTTTCCATGAGGGGCAGTAACCTCTGAGGGCACAGGAATACTAATATCAGTGCTACTTACAGACTGGGACCGACTGCCTAATCGGGGTGCTGACGCGATAATCCCACAGCTAGGAAGAACGTAGTCTACCGGCCCGACATTCTCCAGGGAACTCGCTAGCTGTCTGTCTTCATCAGATCTGGAATTTGTGAGGAATTCGTCGGAGTGGTATGAATCGTTATCTGAAGAAATCTCCCCGTCAGACTCACCCTGGACTTTACTGTCTGTCGTACCTGTATTTTCCATGGTTTCAAGACTACTGTCTGATTTCCAAAGATTTACCTTTAAATTTGGTTTGAGAAAATTAACTTTCATATCAGGTTTTGTAAAGTTTCCAAGCTTTCGTAGATTGCCAATATTTACATTGGATTTTGTCTGTCTTACTTTCTGATTTAGAGAGGAAAATTTGCTCATTAAAAAATTCTTTCCTTGAGCCAAAGAGCCTTGATTTTGAGATCGGATACCAATAATGTCTTCATGAGGTTTACTGCTCTTCCTGAAAATGAGAAGGGAAAAAGTTAATTCCCCATGGAATCCAACACGATCAGCGTCAATGAATAATGTTGGTGAAAACAGTCTGCTTTTTAAAACTGGTTCCAGTTTCTTAAAAATACTGCATTGCTAACTGATAAAACTTGGGTAATTCAACTGAATTGAAAACCCAACAAAACAAGCAAAACCCTCTGTGCCTGCAGCCTAGAGCAGAGCTGCCCAGTAGGCTGTTAACTGGTTAACCACCAGGGAGTTTAACACTGTGCCACCAGGACCCAGACCAGCTTTGTCCAAAAGAAATAAGTGAGCTACAGAGATTCTTTTAATTTTTCTAGTAGCCATGTTAACAAGAAGCGGGTGGAGATCATTGGTAACATTTGATGTAACCATCTAATGCCCAAAATAGTATCAGTCAACAGTAATAACTACTAAAAATTAGATCTTTTCTATTTTTTTGTAAGTCTGATTATGGCACACCTGAGTTTAGACCACATTTCAAGGGCTTCACAGCCACACACGGCCAGTGGTCACTGCTTTGGGTGGTTCAGGCCTAGCGTGTCCAGCATCTGTGACAGACGCAAAGGCAGTGTCAACAGACAGGTGAGTGGGGCGGGGCCTTCCCTCTACTATGGAAAAGAAACGGGTCTTTGAAGGGCTGGTTTATGCCCAGGCTGGGGTCTGGAAGCATCTTGTGTCAGAAAGCAAGGAAACTGAAGCACAACAAAGTGAAAACAAAAAGGAAGCCGATTTTAAAGCACTAACCATGGCCAAGGTCGGAACAATGTGAACAGCAAACAAAGCTGGGTTATAGCCCAGAGAAATAAACACACATGATCTACACTTAACATAAGTAACTAACTAAAGAGACAAATCCCCTTTACAGAAGACTTCCCGTTATCAAGTGTAGAAGGAATGATGGAGATAAAACATTACCATGAAATAGCACAGTGGAGACTTCCACGGAGAAGACCCACAGATGACTAAAATGCGTGTGCTACAGTGTAAGCTGGGACAAGCGCACTGCATCATCTCAAAGGAGGCCCCCAAACGGTCATTTCAAAGGGGAATACACCTACTTCTCACTTAGTGGTACAGTTCATCCCAAAGGCCGGGGCTTATTCAAGCATTTGTGCAATGCAAAGTGGAGGACAACCCCGTGAGATCACCAGATCGAGTACCGCATCACCACCTAACCGCTAAATCATATTACTACACCTGAGACCGTAATCACACAAAACTGAGAAACCACAGGGAATCACGGCTCCACCAAGCAGCCCAAATCTTCACAGCCGGCATTCCCTTTTGCCTCCCACCTCAGCGTTCATTACTGGTAAAGTACAATATTCATTAAAGATGCCGTAAATCACACAGATGATGACCCATCTTTCTCCTATGGAGCAGCTAGTGGATTTGAACCGTGTGCCTTCAGGCTGGCAGCAGAGCTTTCTACCCGTGGGCCACCGGAGCTCCTTTATTACTTTAAATGCAAGTGTTGGATAGGAGACAGTTGCCAAGTGAGGAGTTCTTACAGAGTGGACAGTGCAGGCAGACACTCCCAGCCGGCCCCTGTGCCCGAGATGGCCAGCATCCGCTCTGGCCCCTCGCTGCGGGGCATCCCTTCTGAACTAACATTCCCAACATCAGCTGAATCATGAGAAGCCACCAGACAAACCCAAACTGAGGAATCAGATAGCTCATCAGTGCCTCTCAAGAGCCAAGGGGCTTTCCTTCAGTGCTGAGGTCACAGCCCGCATACACTCGCCTCAAGCGTCCTCCGTGCAACAAGAAGGAGGTTTGCTTGGACCCCAGTGAGACCAATGAAATTGCCAAAGTCAACTCTCAACCACAAATCCGGAAACTGATCAGAGAGGGCCTGATTGTCCGCAAGCCGTTGTCCATTCTCAGCCTCGCTCAGCCCGCAGGGAGGACAGGCGCGTGGGCGGAGGTGAGTACCCAGGTACTGCCAGCACACCAATGCCCAAGACAGTGACCTGGATGGCAGAGGAGGACTCTGAGCTGGCCACTCGGAAGATACCCAGAGTCTAAGAAGATTGATCGCCACTTGCATCACAGCCTATAATGTAAAGGGGAATGTGTTTAAGAACAAGCGAATTCTCATGGAACACTTTTACAAGCTGAAGGCAGACAGCCCGCAAGACCTGGCTGACCAGGCTGAGACCCACAGGTCGAAGACCAAGGAGGCCTGCAAGCGAGTGAGGAGCAGCTCCAGGCCAAGAAAGGAGATCGTCAAGGCTCTGTCCAAAGAGGAAGAAACCAAGTGCCTCTTGTCTGTACACAGTGGCCTGGGTAGTTACAGAGATCACTCACTCAATCCACCTGGGAAAAAACCAAACAAGTGTCAAGGTCAGGTAGGACTCACAATTTAGAGGAAACTTTCAGACTAAGTCCAGTTTCTTGGGTTATTCAGCCTGCAAAGCTGGTCTATATGAAGAACGTGGCATCAAGAGTGGAGTGGCTCATCAACAACCTTCAATATGCAGGTGACACAATATTATCTGCTAAAAGAGACCTTGATGCACTTATTTCAGATTAAAGACTATAGCGTCCAGTATGGATTGCACCAAACATAAAACAAAAATCCTCACCAAGTGGACCAATAGGCAGCATCATGATAGGTGGAGAGAAGATTGAAGTCGTCACAAATTTCCTATTATTGGGATCCACAATCGTGGCACCCATGGAAGCAGCAAGAGACCAAAAGACGTTGGTGCACCTTAAAGACATGGTGCACTGAGAAGACGTGCTGTGCTGGGAAAATGTGCTGTCAGGGACCGCCTTAAAGACCTGGTGCGATGCGAAGATAAGCTGTCAGGGACCGCTTTAAAATGTTAAGGCAGGCAGGCAGTCTGCAGACAAGTGTGCTTGGTACAAACCATGGTTACTTTCAACTGCTGTGTATGCACAGGAAAGGTGGACACTGACTAAGAAAGGCTGAAGAACTGATGCCTCTGAATTATGATGTTGGCAAAAGGTACTGAGGACACCGTGGACCGCCACAAGCACAGGGGAGCTCTGGTGGCCTGGTCAGTAAGGAGGCAGCTAGCACTGCTAGCTCAAAGCCGAGCAGTTCAAGCCCAGCAGCTGCCCCCTGGGAGTAAGATGGGCAATCTCCGCAGGTGCAGTTCACTGCCTCTGAAAACCTCCTGGAAGATCAGCCGTCTATTTATTGGTTTTGACTGGATGGCAATCAGTTTTGAGTTAATTAAAAGAACAAATGTCTTGGAAAAATTAGAGCCGGGTACTCCTTTAGAGGCAAGGACAGTGGCCTTTGTCTCATATACTTTGAGCATGTTATTAGGAGGGGTCATCTTTTGGAGAAGGACATGATGCCCAAGAAGGTCAAGTCCGTGAAGGAGAGAGGAAGACCGTCAATGAGACAGGCTGACACTGGCCGTGATGATGGCCGTAAGCCCAGGGGAGACTGTGAGGCTGGTGAAGAACAGGCCAGGCTTCCAGCCCTACTGAGTCTGAGTCAACTCTGCTGACCAACCAGTGTGGGAAGATAGCATTATTTAGAAATCTGAGTATCATCAGTAATACACAGACTGTTGGAGATTCTCCTTTTTTAAAGAGACAGGATCTTGGGATAGAAAAATGGCATTACTGAAAATAAGAAACCCAAAGTAAAAAGAGAAGAAAGAAACTAAAAGCAAAAACCCCTGTGAACTATGAACAGGTTCTGTATTTTTGTTAACAGCATTATATATAATAAAGGGAGCTCTGGTGGCCTCGTGGGGAAAGACGTGCACTGTAACCCAAAGGCAGGCCATTCAAGCCCACCGGCTATTCCTCTCCTGCAATTTACTACCTCTCAGAACTCACTGACGGGTCAGCTATGAGTTGGCTCCGACTGAATGGCGCGGCGGGGGTCAAGGCAAATTTCAGTGGCTCTTTGCTGCTGAGCTGGAACTGACCCATAACTGACCCTCCAGCAGGTTTCTGGAGGCTGTAAACGGCACGTGAGGAGACGGCATCACCTCCTCCTGTGGAGCAGCTCGGGGATTCAAGCTGCGAGAGCACGACCGTTGAGTCAGCACTGCAGTGTCCGAGAGAGTATGCCAACAGCTCCCTGGGCTAAAGTCGTAGTTTTGATAAATGATCTATAATAATAGAAGATGGCAGCATATGAGGAAGCTGGGCAAATGGTATGTAGAGCTGTATTCAATTTTTAAAACTCTTAACCTTAAGTGTGAACATTTCACATATATGTGTATGTGTGTGTGTATTTCCTTATAACTTGAGTGAAGGCAGAATTTACTTTTTTATTCAATCATTCATACAATTTTCCGTGACAGAATTCCAAAATAGCAAGACTCTGCTTACTTCTCCCCTCTAAGTCTCATCTCCATTATCTTACTCGCCCTCTCTAGCTTTAGTGAGATCGAGCTGATCAAGCCTCAGCGCTGCCTGCCTTTCCCGCCACTCGTCTTAACTGTGCGTCTATCATCTCTTCCCTCATCGTGACTCTCCTCTCCCTCCCTCCCAGTCCTGGTCACCCTCCGGGTATGATTCTGTGTGTAAGCCCTTCCTTAGCTTTTCATAATAGTGGTCTTACGCGACATCTGTCCTTTTGTGGCACTGTCACTCAGGGTCATGTCCTCGAGGCTCATCCATGTTACAGTTTTTCATAAAAATACAAAAAGCTTCTCAAGTCCATTACTTCCCTGTGCAGTCATGCTCATCCTTTCTGCATCGTTCCAGTTGTTGCCAAAGCAAATTTACACAACCACGGTATTTACACAAACAAAAAGTTACTATTACATTTGGATCCACAGATACAGACTTCTCTCTGGTCTAAATACCAACACTGAGCCATAATTTATTATTTTTGGGTGTGTGTACCGTCAAATCGGATCTGACTGGTACCGGAGGAAACTGCCCCTCCTCCTCCAGCAGAGCATCCAGTGGATTCAAACCATGCATCTCAGGGATTGCAGTGCAGCTTCTTGCCACTAGGCTGCCAGAGCTTGCCATCTTTACAAGTATTTGTAAAGAAAAGACAACCTTGGATAATGTTTTTATTCTTGAGAGAAACCAAAATAGTATACTCACCTTTCAAGTTTCTTTTCAATGATAGGCACATCCAGTCCCATGGCCTGCTTGGTGATCTGCAGCATCTCGGCAATGCACTGAAGCGTATCTAAAACCCAGAGGGAAGTGGTTGCCATTTTATTCAAAACATGTTCAAGCATGTTTTAAGACAAAAGCAGAGAAGAGAATGAAACAGAATGGTATAAAAATTTTATTCTAGTTCTGTTTTGATCAAAGATTCTAAAACAGAATCTGATCAAAAGAGAGAAAATGTAGACCAGAATTTCAAATGCTCATGGAATCCAGACTTTCTGGAGTCACAGAATCTGGATGAACTTCCTAAACTTTAATCCTGAGATAATCTTGCAATCATAAACCACAAATATCCCTTGAAGCCTTCTCTAAACCAAACACCAGTTCAGGTTAACTAGTGAGTCAAAACACCTGCTTTGAGCATGTGCTCTTTTAAGAACTATCTCCGTGAGATCAAAGTGAACACAGCAACTCAAATGAGTTTAATCTTGGTATCCTGAGTCAGCCTGACTAGTCAATGAACTGAATGCTCGTCCATAATATAATGCAATATAATCATTTTTGTTTTCAAATCGGATATGAGCTGCTAATCAGCTTAAAAGTCAATCCACTTCCTTGGGGGTGTGGTCTATAACCAATAAAATACATAGTGATGTTCTGGAATGTTCCTGCTCTCTACTATCCTGCATCCAACTTTCAGCAGCAGAACCAAGAAATCAGTAGGAGGCAGCACAGAGGCCACAGACCAAGAGCCTGGGTCAAAGCTCACTGGACAGTCCTAACACACTTTACTGGTGGAGCCAGAGATCTGTAACTCTCGCCTGAGCAGAGCAGAGGCCAGGTGAGAGGCATGGCTAAGAGGCTTTCCTGACCAAAGATCTATTCCTGGATTTACTGCCGACCTGAACTATAACCTGTCCTTTCACTAGTAGGTCCCAAAGCTATGGGCATGGTCTGTGAGTTCTGTGCTGGTACTGATTTCTCTGCTGGGTTTCGTAATCCATTGCATGGGCCACACAGAACTCACAGGCCGTGCTCACAGCTTATTAAGGACAGGTTCTAGTTCAGGATCATGCAGCAATGCATCTCAGCAAGGTGCCGATTGTGAGGATGGCACAGGAAAGGTAGGGTTTCCCTCTGTGTTCACAGGGTCACTGTGCGGCACAGTGGGCCTTATGGCACCTAATAGGAACAGCAGAAAAACAGTGTTTTAAAAGTAACAGGTGGTGTCAGAACTGGTAAAAAAGGTGGGTGGTGGAGAAATGCTTCTCCCCCTGCCAGCCTTGGGCTGTTGCTCATGACAATTCTCCTGCCCTCTGTAAAACTGGCTAAGGAGGCCTCACACTTCCACACCACCATTTCTACAAGCCTTATCTACTGCCCAGGAGACAGGATGTGTGATGAGCAAGTCCTGGCAGCCACATGACTCTGTGCAAAGTCATTCCTGCATCTTTATTCTTCTGTGGTTTCAAAAGACCAACATACACATTTGTTAACTAAATGCCTGGTCTTTTTAAAAAAAACTTGGAGAATTTCCATTCTAGGGTTTTTTTTGCTTCAAACTACATTATCAATTCAACTAATTTTGCTAGGAATAAAATTGCTGCTCTGAGGTTTCAAACCATAAATCTATCGCCCGCAATCAGTCGTCACTCAGAGGAAGATGGTACATAAGGTTCCAATTCCACCTAGGCCTGAAGTCAGTTTAACGTCAACACTGAGTAAGCTCGGCCTGTCCTCATTACCTTTTCCATCCTCTTCTGGATTGCGCATCACAGCCCTCAGTGTGTGGAAGTAGCCGCTGGCGTCTTTGCACCTGTAGTGCAGTCGCATGCAGGAGAACTTGGGCTTACCGAAAAGAGTGGGCTCTGGACCTAAAGGGCAAGTGAAGAGGTGTGAACTTCTATCTTCATATAATCATCACTTCCTCTTCTGTAGGAAGATGTTCCCTAATTAGGCACTTGGCCTATTTTCCTTCATAACAGGAGCATACAAAATACAAGCCTATCATAACCATTTGGTTTGATGAGGCTATGAATAAAACAGGAACTTCTTCAATCTCAATTCTTAAAACCTTCTTGATCGTAAATATTTGCAAAGCAAATATTACAGTTATTAAAGGATTACAGTTACTGTTGCTTTTTTTTTAGGCTATCTCTTCCTAGTTCTTTGTTTTTCAATTTAATTTTATTATTTTTATGTGTGTGTGTCATCAAATTGGATCTGACTGGTACAGGAGGAGACTGTCCCTCCTTCTCCAGCAGAGCATCTGGTGGATTTGAACCATGCACCTCTGGGATTGCAGTGCAGCTTCTTGCCACTAGGCCACCAGAGCTTGCCTTCTTCCTAGTTCTACTAAGATATTATCCCATGTTCTTAAACGACTTGACCACCATGCCCCACAGCTCCCTATGGATTGAACACTATACTAAATGTTACCTATTTCTATTTTTTCCAGGTCTTCCAGACTTAGACGTTGATACTGGTTTACTTTATCAACTTCATCATCATAACTAGATAAAAAGAGTACAAAGAGGATTAAAATCAAAAGCAGTTTTCTTGTCTCTTGAGGTATAATAGTAACAAATTACAATGCAGTTAAAATAACAAAGTCTTACACAGCAAAATATATATTCTAGAATAAAGAATTAAAACACATAAATAGTTCAATGAAAAGTTAGATGAATTTAGAATATTGCATGTGGTACAACATCTAAAGGAAAACCAGTTCACAGATCTTACTGTAGGAGCCAATTACATAAGACATAAAAAGAATTTAATAAAAATTTTTAGAAAATTGAACTCAAAACACAAAAGAAAGGCAGCATACACACACACAGTGATAATAAATTTAGGAAGTAAATTTGATATCCAAAATTAAGACAGATCTCATTGGTCAGACCTTTGGGCATATAACTGAGAGTTGAAATTAGACCAAATAGAAACTTAATATTTATAATTCATAAATAAACTTAATATTTATAATTCATGAAGCCCTACTCTGGTAAAGCTATGAGGAGAGACATGGTGCTTGGGTTTTGCTGATGGCACTGTTAAATAGTAGCCTTTCTGCAGATCGGTCTGACAACCAATCATAAAATCAAGGGCTCAGCATACCCCTGTAACTATAGAAACACATGCCATGCTCATGTTATCTGCAGAGACAGCTGCATCATTCATACTAGCAGAAACTGGAAGCAATGGGAGAATATTTAACTAACATGTAGAAATAAAGACCATTAAACATCACCATTAGTAAGAAGAATATACAGGATACGTCAAAAGGCTAGAGTTTGCTAGAAAATGCCACTATATGTTAAAAAGAAGATAATGTTACAAGAATGCAATAATGGTAACTATAAAATCATTTTTTACAGTAAGAATAAAAAAAAGTAATTTAAGATTAAAATCGTAAAATAGTTTAAACTAGATTCTTGTATTTTTAAATATCATATATTCTAAAAAGGAAACTTACTCATATTTTTAAAAAGGAATCAATGAAAAGCTTTCAATCAATAAGCAACTCACTAGGCCACATAGTAGGCAGAATTAGAAAGGAGCAGCAGCACGTCCACGTCGCGGTGCGTCGCATCAATGAGGCTAAACAAACACGACACAGGGAATTAGACCTGTCACCGTCCCCGCACTTCTGCAGAGTATTTCTGTAGAAGAGCCACTTATGACAAAAAATCATCAGGGGAAAAAATGAAGATCATCAATAAATGCTACTTAGGTTAAATGTAATATCCCTTACCCATCAGGACGTTTAATAAGAAAAAGCAAAGGACTTGGAAGGAGCGATTTGAAGGGAGGGGCTGACTGAGAGAGGAGTGGGCAAAAGAAGGGGACCTCCTGGAAAAGCAGAATCATGGGGCGGGGGTCCAGAAAGATGGGAGAAGGGAGGGTTTTTGGGAAGAAGCGGGAAAATATGGCTGAAAAGGGGAAAATAATCTCATATCTAAAACTGCAAAGTAATTCTGTAAATGCTTAGGATATTTTTACACTAGTGTGGAATTCCTTTCTAAAAAAGAATTCTCCACTAATAGTATATGCATACATGGAACAAGCCCAAGCTGTTTTCTGTACAGATTTATTTACTTGGCTTTCAAGGAACTAAACATTTCCTTATCTATGTCCATTTTGCATATTTTTATGCCTAAGGACGGGGGGTGGGGATCAATAATTATAATGGTTTCTAGAAACCAAATATGTGCTGTGAACCACAAAATCAAAACTACAGCAAACTGTACATCCTTGTAAGATTATGAACAGAAAAGAGGTCCCATAGAAAAATCAAGAAAAATGAAGAGTTAACATGAGGAATTTAAACCCAAACTTGTCGTGTCATCTAAACCAATCATTAACAACAGTCTTTTCACCAAATTAAAGTGTTCTTCTAGGTCCTGGACAGGGCACTGGAAGAGTTGGCATCGCTTTCCCGGGATTTCAAACCTCTTTGCTACGCTTTATTAAACACTGTTGAGGCGAGCTCTGGTGGCCTAGTGGCAAGAAGCTGCACTGCAACCCCAGAGGTGTACGGTTCAATTCCACCAGATGCTCTGCTGGAGGAGGAAGAACCATCTCTTCCTGTACCAGTCAGATCTGATTTGACGGTACACACACACACACACATACACACATAATAAAAATAAATAAATAAACACTGTTGAAAAACAAAGGGGAAAGTGAAGTGGAGGGGGCAATCACTTGTGGCATGAATGCTAGTTGATCATTGTTTAACTGGTACCACAGGGGGCTGACCACTCTGTCCACCCAGCCTAGATCTCGAGGACCAGGTTTGCTTCCGTTTCCACCCCAGATACAGGACCCTGAATTCAGGGCACACACGAGGCCAGGGGCTAGCAGCGCGCTGATCACATCGGAGACCCACTGACCCCTGTTATCCGAGGAGGAGCTTGCTGACCACCTGACACTCCCAGCCTGGGATGGAGCTCTGTGCACGGGTACTTAGGTGCATTGTAAACGTGGCTGCTTGAGCCAGGCCATAACAAGCATGTCACAACACAGCTTTGGGCACTAAAGGAAATTCTACTCCTCCTAGCTACAGTGATAACTTCACCCTAGCCTCTTATTTTCACAGAGCATTTGCATCGGTCAAACATGATCCTCAGGCACAAACATTAAGTCTAGAACAAAAAGCACTTGGCACATAACAGAAAGTCAGAAAAGGTCACCCCCTCACCCCCCTCCCATTTTTGCAGAAATCTCAGCTGCAGTTAATACTGATGTCCCCTTCCCATTCACCATCCCCATTTTTTCTTTAAAAGGAAAAAAAGGTTTTTAATACAAACAAGAAAAGAAAGACTCCACCCCCGTGGGCTGCACACACACGCCTGCGCCTGCGGTCGGAGCAGCTGCTCTACTGCTGCTTGTTTTCCCACCACTGCGGCAAGTCCTCGTTCCACACGATGAAGACCAACGTGCCAGCACCACATGCGGCCCCACCACCACCACGATGGTCGCGTAAAGGCGCTGTCTTCTGGGGACATTAACATGAGGCTTTGGCAAAGGAGTAATTTACAAGAAAAATACAAGAAGGGCCAAATGCAAGGTAGTCTGATCGTGAGATGGTCCGAGCGCGGAAGGTCCGAAAGCCGCGGCATCCGGACCTGGGAGCTCAAGGCAGTGGAGACACGCTCCGTGTTTCAGCACCACTTCCATAAACCGCAGCCTTGGTGGCGACTGGGAATGACGCATTCACACTGACACCTGATTCCCTTTCATGCTTACAATTTCCTCTTTGCAGCCTGCAGCACCCGACCAGTCGATAAAGTCAGAGTTGTTCCTGATGACTGGGGCGAGGGGGGATGGAAGGGATCCTGCACCTCGCGTTTGTTCCAGGGAAGTGGGGGAGCAATGTGTGGTGGTCGCCACAGGTCTCCTCTGGCCTGCAGGTTCCCTCCAAGTTGGAATTGACTCCGGGACAGTAGCTGGGGTGTGCTGTCGAGTTGGCCATGGGCTTTTAGGTTTTAACTAGTGGTGAGGTAAGGTGAGGTGAGTCAGGCAGGACTGCAGAAATGCAGGGACAGACCTGCCTTTATCTAAAAGGTTGTCATGTTGTTCATCATAGATTCCTTTTTAAAATGACACATTCAAAATTATGTATCTTGGTGATGTTTGATTCTCTCATAAATTTGTGCCAACTAGTCTGTGCCCCAGTTCACCTTGTCCCAGTCCTGGCTAAGTATCAGGGGTACAGTAATGACAGTTTGCACAGGCACCGGTCACCTCACTTGGATTAGTTGATTGCTGGTACCAAGAGTGCTGACTGTTGAACCAAGCAAGCTGAAATTGTTAACAACCTCAATCTTCATCATCTATCATGACACTGCCATTTGACCCAGTGGTGAGAATCTTTGTCTTCTTGATGTTGAGCTTCAATCCATATTGCAGACTATAGTCCTTGACCCTCTGCAGCAAATGCTTCCTTCAGGCCCTCCTTGGAAATCCAATGGTCACTCTGACTGGGAGGAAATGGATTCAGTGGAGACTTAGAATCTTGGAAAGGCAGTGGAGGGTCACTGTGATTAGAACTGATTCCCCGGCAGTGAGGTTACTGAAACAAGATGAGTTCCAGGGCTGTAAATCGTCACGGAAGTGGATAGCCTCACTTTTCTTCCAACGAGTGGTTGCTGGATTCAAAGCGTCTTTTAGTAGACAGGCCAACAATTAATCCCCTGTGCCTCTAGGGCTCCTTCCGAACAGTAATATGAGTAATAAGGATATTAATATGAGTTCAACATAAAAAAACAATCAATGGCATTCATCACATTAACAAAACAGAACAAGAACCACATGATCCTATCAATTAATGCAAAAAGGCCTTTGCCAAAATCCAACACCCTTTCCTGATTAAAACACTCAACAAAATAGGATTCGAGGGGAATTTGTTCAACATAGTAAAAAGTATCTACGCAAACCTGAGAGCCAACATTGTTCTCAATGGAGAACACCTTTGGCTTAGGAACAATTTCTGCAGGTTAGACCGTCGGAGCTACCTCTGCCTCAACAGCAGCCCTGTATCTGAAGACTGCCGTGGGCCTGCAGCCATGTTCACAGCAGTCGGACAGCTTCCAATGTAAATGAGGCCGACCCGGCTTCACAAAAGGGTTAAGAGGCCCCACTCACCTGGGGTCACAGTCAATGAGGGCCCAGCCCCCGTGGAACTTCTCGTCCTCGGGCAGCAGCAGCTTCATGTAGCTCTGTAAGAGCTGGCTGATGAGCTCCTGGTGGCTCCTCTGAGTGGCCTTGTGCAGAGCCTCATGCTCCTTCTCCTTGGTAAATATGGAATAAAGATCTTCTGTGACGGGAATGCCTTGCATCAAATCTAAGGTGGAAGTGTTCATATCTGTCATTAGCTTACTAAATACTTAGGGGGTACAAAAAGGAACTCAGCTCTTAAAAACTAGAAAACTGTTAGAAGAAAATATAGGTGTGAATCTTCATGGCCTGGGATTAGGCATAATTTATTAGATAAAGCAAAACAAAAACTCAAAGTCATTAGCATTGAGCCAAAACCAACTCATAGCTGACCCTCTACCGGGTCCCCAAGTCTGTAAATCACATCAGAGGAGATTGCCCATCTTACTCGTTCAGGGATGGAGTCAAGCTGCCAGGGAGGCATGGCCATTGGGTTAGCAGTGCAAATCCCAATGCTTTGTTCCCTGACTAGGCCACCACAACTTTCTGTTGTATTTACATATATAATATCAAAAGTACAAGCAATGAAAGAAAAACAGACAAACTGGATATCATCATCCTTTTGGTGGGGCAAGCGGCTCAAACCTCAGCCGAAGATCATATTCTGATTCCTATGGGCCAACGAGACTGAAGAAAGTTTCTGGGAAAAATGATTTGTCAATCTCTAGTCCTACAAAGGGAAGCAATAAACAATAATCGCAGATCCCTACTGGCTGGTAGCTTTCCACCTTAACGGGCTCTTACTCCTTGGTTACGATGAAGCAGGCCTAGCCCACTGCTATCTGGTTTAGTCTGACTCCTGGGAACCCTGCAGAACAGGGTACAGCTGACCACAAGGCTTCTTTATGAAGGTGGACTGTCCATTTCTCTCCCATAGAGCAGCTAGTGGGTTTGACACACTGAACTTAAAACTGTAACTGAAAAATTGACCAGTAACCACACATTTGAACCACTACTCTAGAAATCTCCTAAAGAGACACCAGACTTTGGCAAATTGAGAGAGAGAGAAAAGAAAAAAAAAATAGTGAAGTAGAGAGGGAAGGGAGCTGGGGCCTCAGTCTTTTAACTGAGTCTAGATCCACCACTGGAAATAAGATCTTATTCTCCCTTAAATAAACTGCTAAAATCCGCTTTTCTTGTTGTAACAAGCACCTTCCATACCTCCACACGAAGCTGCTTTTTTACACCAATCAAAGCCACACCCACTGCTGTCAAGTGGATTCTTACTGACAGCAACCCCCCAACATGGAGTGGAAGGCCCCAGGGGGTCTCTGAGGCCCTGGGTCTTTGTAGAAGCAACTGTCTTGCTTTTCTTGTCAGCATAGATGAATCACCAGCCTAACACTTAACACTGGCACCACCAGGCCTTCTTTCCTTTCCATCAGACTTGTCAAGTCCCTAACTAGTCTGTGGCTGGGCCCTACCATCCATGCAGAAGACACTGGTTGAAGGACAATTTGGAAAAGACTCTCAGGGAGATTGGGCCAGACATGTTCTACGTGGCTTTAACACAGAACATTGTACATTCACTTTAATCCTCTAAAGTTACACTTTCACGAAAAAGAAATTAAAAACATGTCACGGCATTAATTCAACTGCACAAGCTACCACCACCTCCTCTGCTAAAAAAATCTCCAGAGTCCACAGGATTAACCCTGGATATTAAGTCACAGTTAAAGACAACAGGGTATATGCACGTGGTCAGAACACACGATAAAGAGCAGACTGAAAAAAAAGCATCTTCTATCTCTCAGCCGTGAACAGTGGGAAACATGTGGAATCTGGACTTTAGGTCAGTTCTGGTGGTGAGATGTGACTGAGTCACCTCATAGCAACCATATGCCCAGCAGGCTCGACCCAGCACCGTCCTGGCCATCTCGGCTGTACTTAAGCCCATAGCTACAGCCGCTGTGCCAGGCGACCTCACAGAGGGGGCTCCTCTCCTTGAAAGACTCTATCTTTCCAAGCTCCATACTATACAGGAGCCTCAACTCTGCTGTCTTTTTCTTTTTCTCCGAAAGAGCAACACACTGACAATATGTATGGAAACTGGCAATTTCTTGTGTTGTTTGGGTCCAGAAGACCTATCAAGCTCTAATGTGGTAGACATGTGAATTTGACTTATTGAGTTGGAAGCTCAGTAGAGAAATTCAACTATATTATAAAACATATGAGCTATGCTAATAAAGTTGCTTTCTATGAAGAGTCACTCAGTCACAGAAAAAAAAAATCCATTTTAAAGAATGAAAGCCACTTTTGCTTCTTACCTATGACAGCTTGCCTGTAAGCATCCTTAAATCGATTGAGGTAATACCTATTCGCTGAGTTAACCCCATCTTTCATCACTCCTGCTAGCTTCCTTTCTCCTGTCCTCGTAAAGTCACCCTGTTGAAGGAAAAGTCATGTTGACAACTGACTCAAACACAAGAGTGCTCCCAGATCAAATGTGGGCTTGCAGAGCAGGACTAAGTGCCACTGGCTGCCGTGAACATCTGTCATTTCCAAGTGTGCAGTTAGTTAACATCCCCTAGCATTTGACTCACTTAGAGTATCAAGTCTCTACAACTCGGTATTTCATTAGGGTAAAGCCATTCTTCTCAATCTTCATAATTCCTAGTTCATATGTTGTTCTTGTGTACTGTTGAGTCGGAATTGACCCATAACTGACCCCTAGCAGTTTTACAGAGGTAGTTAATCGCATGAGAGGGGAGTGCCCATCTTTCTCCCACAGAGCAGCTGGTGAATTCGAACACTGTACCTTTGAGATGGCGGCACAATTCCTTATCACTAAGCCACTAGAGCTCCTTAGTCCTATGTAAAGATCTATTATATAAGAAAAATAAAAATAATGAAAAAGATTTTCAAGTTTCACAGTGGTGAAATATTAAAAATATTCCAAATTTCTGATATAGGAAAACTTGGACCAAATTGGGAGTTAATGTGTGTCAGAGACAGAAAGAAAGAGAGTGTGTGTGTGTGTGTGTGTGTGTGTGTACAGAAAGAGTACAAACAAAAGTGTGCACACCTTCCCAAACCCTGCTGCACAGGACAGTTACTCACAGACTGATCCAGTCAAGATATAGATTGTTTTGTTTCCTATTTTTCACAACGAAGTATCAGAGCAAGTTCTCAGGGAGGGAGGGACCTAAGGTGAAGGTAAACTCCTGTCATGAAGTCCAGTCTGACTGACAGTGATGGGCCGCTGGGTTTCCTTGCAGGCTGTAAATCCTTACAGGAGAAGACTGCCCAGATCCCTCTCCTAGAGCAGATGGTAGATTTGAACTGCTGGCTTGTTAGTAATGCAACACATAAAGCCCTCTGCCACCAGAGCTCATTAAACTTCAGGCAAGAAAGGGAATATCTATCTCCTTTGTCTCCATTCTATAACTACTATTTCTATCGAGTGCAATCTTAGAAAGAGATCTTGGTCTAAAACTGTCAATTTAATAAAAGCAGTTTTATGAGATATCTGACTTATGATATATTTGAGCTATATTTATTACTATCTATTTTCATTTTATCTTATTATTAATAAAATGTACTATATATATTGCTTATGAGTAATGGTATTAGTTTGAAGGCTAAGTAAGGTGCATCTGACTCAGGCCATGGTATTTTTATTTTATTTTTTTTTAATTTTTCTTTTTTTTTTGTGTGTGTGTACCATCAAATTGGATCTGACTGGTACAGGAGGAGAGTGCCCCTCCTTCTCCAGCAGAGCATCTAGTGGATTTGAACCGTGCTCCTCTGTGATTGCAGTGCAGCATCTTGCCACTAGGCCACCAGAGCTCCGAGGCCATGGTCTTTTTAATCACCTGCTTTGCTTCTGAGAGCTGGACAATGAAAAAGGATGATAGAAGAAAACTGATGCCTCTGAATTGTAGTAGAGGAGAAGAGTACCGAATAGCCATGGACTGTCAAAAAAGCAAGTAGATACATACTGAAAAAAGTGCAGCCAGAGGGCTGGAAGCAAGGACGGTGAGGCTTCATCTCACATGCTTTGTGAGGGGCTACTCCCTGGCAAGGACCTCATGCTTGGAAAGGTGGAGGGTCAGCGATGGAGCAGAAGACCCTCAATAAAATGGATTGACACAGTGACTGTAGCAAGGGGCTCAAGTGTGTCAGAGGCAATGGGGACGGCACAGGGTAGGACAGGGTTTATATCTGTTCACAAGCTTGCTGAGTCGTACTCAACTCCATCAAACCCAACAGCAACAACATACTTAATGCTAAAATATACAGTGTTAAAAATTACTTTCATGTTTACATGGCCTGTTTTCAGCCTTCAAAGACCAAGAAAGACTAGATTTATAAAGATGATAACAAAAGGCAGTAAATATGAAAAATAAAGTATGTGATTTATCAAAGATACTCCAATGGATATGGAACCCTATTGTAAGCTGGAGACCACCTGGGCATTGTGAGAGAGGGCTCAGCTCCTGGTCAGGTCCTGTAAGGCCAGGATAATGGCCCTCCCTGGGCAGCACGTGCCTGCTCCTCAGGACTGCATGACCTCACGGCTTCCTGGGATCCCATGGGTGGCAGGCCTGAGCCCACATCACCTGGGCCTTATAGGAATGAGAATGTGTCACCATGCCTTAGCCATCATCCCAGAAAGGAGCCAGTCAGAAGGACACACTGTCCCTGGTCCATAAACCTTTCTCAAACACAAAGCTTGTTTTAAGTTACCAGCCGACACGTGACCCACCAATGGATCCATGAGTGCGAGTGCCTGCATGTACCTTGAGAGCGGCTGTCCCCGCGTACTGCCGGCTGATGGAGTCACCGTTGTTGGCCCACATGATCTGGTAAATACGGTTGCATTTCACTGGCAGTGGCTGCTCTGGAGGCATCACACCAAGCTTCTTCAGCTAAAAGGAACGCATGGGCAGATTACCCACATAGGAACCAGGGGGCCAGACATAAAATGCAGAAAAAGAAGTTCAATCATACACAGCCTCTCTCTCATTCACCGCTGTCGAGTCGGAGCGGACTCCGCTGAGCCTCTAGTGGGTCTTCAGAGGCCGTAAATCACATGCGAGGAGACTGCTCATCTTTCTCCTGCAGAGTAGTTGGTGGATTCAAACCGTGTGCCTTTGGGTTGACAGCACAACTCCTTACCACTGAGTCACCAGGGCTCCCTTATGTATAATACAGAATCTTTTTTTTTAATTCCTATTGTGTACCATCGAATCTTATCTGACTGGCACAAGAGATTCCCTCATTCTCTGGTGGAGCATCTGGTGGATTCGAACAGCGTGCTTTTGGGACTGCAGTGCAGCTTCTTGCCACTAAACCACCAGGGCTCCCCATAATACAGAATCTTAAAAAAAATAAAGGCAGCAGTAATGTTTCCATTACTCTTTAAAATGAAGTGCTACCTGAAAGCTTTTAAATTATTACAGTTCAAAAGAATTTTTAGTGGTATCATTTTTAGTGTATAAATTCACAGTATTATCTTTTGTCTTAATTTTTTTTGGTTTTTCTTTGTTTTCGATTTGTCTACAGAGTGAAACAACACAGAAATAGCAATAACATTAATAGTAGCAGATTAGTAAGTGTCCCATAAACATTAACACGGAGCTAGGATCCGGGATCTTGGGTGTTTTACATAAATTACTGTATTTTGGATAATAACACGCATATGCACATAACACATGCAGGACTCATAAGAAACTATCCCTAAGGAGGTTGCCCAATTTGTAAAAAAGTATAACTCTCAAGTCATTTGTATAAAAATATACTCTAATTTACTTTGCTTTATGGAATTCTTGCTCTTATTATCCCATTTTAAAGATGAGAACACTGAGGTTTAGGAAGGTTAAGTTACTGCATAAGGTCGGTCAGCACCGGGCATCTGAAAGGAGATGCTAAAGGAACAGAAATGGTGAGAGAACATCTGAAGGATGCAGCCGTCACCCCAGCGCTGAGGCTGGAGGGAGAGGCTGGTTCTGTGGTGCCAAGGAACCCAAACACCGGTGAGGGCAGTCCTAGTGGGAGTACCAATGATGGATGGCATGTCACTCTTCCCGCTTCTTGCCTGGTGGTCTCCTTTCAGCTGCCCGCTTGGCAGAGTCCAATAAGGAGCTGACTGACAAAGCAGGAGTCCAGAAGAGACTCCAGAGAGGTGGGTGTGGGGTAGAGTCCCTGGACAGAATAAATGGTCACATGCTCAACTATGAGACAGAAGGTTGTTGGTTCAAACCCAGAGTTCTGTTCTGCATTCATGCAGTCACCGTGAGTTAGGAGTTGACTTGATATCAAATAATGACAGCAACAGGGCCTTAGAAGGTATTACAGAAGGTGGGCCTGAAACTCAAGGCAAACGGGGAGAAGACTATGAAATGCCCCAATGCATTTTAATGGATCCAATAGTTTTAAAGTACCTAATACTTAAATGTCACCTTAGTCAATTTATTTCTGGTGAGATTTGAGCTGTAGAGCAACAAAGACGTCTGCACGCCGTTAGTGTCCTAGGACAAGGACTTCAGCTGTGAGCTGACACAGGAAACAAGCCGTCTTTCTTGGCTCGAGGAGGCCACGTACCTGCTGCTCCATGACCACGCGAGCGATGGCGGCTTGGACCACATTGGTGCGGTCCAGACAGTCCATGCAGTTCACGCGGAAAATCCCTTCCTGTTTGCAGATCACCCCATCTCGGTCCACCCTTGTCAGAAACAACACAGGGCCATTTTACAGTGTGAAAACCAGCTTCCCAAAACACAGAAGTCCTTCCTATCTAACAGTTCAGCAGCATTCACTCTCAGCTGTCTGGAATATCTTTAGGTGCCAGGTATTATCCTATCACTGTCGCTACTTCACAGTCACTGGACAAGAAACCTGTTATTCCCCTCGGGGGACTGGGTGGTGTTGCTGGGTGCCCTCAAGCTGACTACGCCTCCCAGCAACCCCATGAGTGACAGATGTGAGCCTCGCTCTCTCCTCCTCATCTCCGATACGCTCGAGCTCTCTGTCACAGTCACTGAGCCAGTCCCTCTTGCTGGGTGACGAGGTGCTAAAAAAAATCTGTGTCTTGCCTCTAAATCGCAGAACTACCAAGAGGCAGCGCTGAGAGAGACCTCGAGTGTTCCCTACATGCTTAAGGACCAGGAGCGCTTCCAACCCATCCTGTTCCTCCCTCCCAACACCAGGCAGAAAGGCAGCTGAACAAACTGACACAATCACTTTTCCCAGTCAGGGAAGAAGGAGTCAGCCAGTGTCCCACTCCTCTAATTTCTCCGACCCCCTGTGTGGACTGCAATCCAATCCAATGTTCTCTCCTGTCTTTTAAGCCAATTCCTTCTTCCTACATTTCCCTCTTGCCATCTAAGACTCATCCTTCTCTGACAACGTTTATATCCCTGAAAACTGAGAGCAATGCACCGTAAGCCTTACTGCCTACTTTAGGGGTCATGAGAACAAGAAAAATATGGGGCCCGGAGAGAAGAAAGAACAGACTTAAGTCCTAAAAAAACCAAAAACAAGAAAACAGGACTTCTCACTCCATTCTGCCCAAACTTCCCGATACCACGTCCCTTTTCAAGATGAAGGCTAACGCTGCTCGATAAAGAACAGCCCTCGTGAAAAGGAGAACAGTGAAAAGGAGGCAGTCAACCGAAACCAGCTCTCAGCATGCTGTTACTATTTCAATGCTCAGTGGCGGCTAGGACAGTGAAAGCTAGGAGAGCCACACAGGATTTCACAGACCAAGCGTCTGTCCAACCGACTTCCTGTGAAATACCTACCAGCACCACTTCATGTCAAGAATGATGTCACAAATGGCATCGGTTAACGTTTGCACATTCTCAAACTTCATTCCTCGGCTAGAATGACATGCCAAAAGAAAGAAAGAAAAAGCCTTTAATATCATAACAATTACTCTTCAATTTTAAGATATAATAAAAAGCTACTTGTAAAAATGAGAGAATTGTTGCTATAAGTATATGAGGTGAACACCTCTAATATTATATGGAAAATTATACAGATGTTTATAACAATCTGCTCAGTGCAATAAAACAAACTTAAGAATGCAATGGAACACACCATCACAGGTACCTGAAGGTTTTTTTCTCTTCAGTCTAGAGGTAAATTAAGCCAAATTAGAGCTGGGATTAAAATAACTTTCTTACAAGATTAATACAAGTCATAAATAACATGCGTAATACATTAGTTGTTCTTGCTAGAATAACCTCTTGTGAAGTGGATGCACAAGAAGATAGTATAAAGAGTACAAAGCAGAAAGACAAGCCTGCAGGGTGACTTATAAATAAGAGAACACTATCATTTCTGCCAGGCTCAGACCAAGGTGGGGAAATGGAGTTATAAAATCTCCAAATAATTTCAGAACACGAAAATTGCATACCTTAAGGGCAATTTAAAAAAAAAAATTAAAATTTTATTTTACTATTTGTGTGCATGTGTACTGTCAAATCAGATCTGACTGGTACAGGAGGAGATTGCCCCTCCTTCTCCAGCAGAGCATCTGGTGGATTTGAACCATGTACATCTGGGATTGCAGTGCAGCTTCTTCCCACTAGGCCACCACAGCTCCCCTAAGGGCAATTTTTAAATAATATTTTTTACCAAGATGCATATGAGAACTGAAACGAAAATAAAATTATTTCTTTTCCCCTTCCACAAATAAGGAGAAGGACACAACAGAAATGGGGCTAAGACCCTGGGGGCAGGCTCCACCATAGGCGGGAAGCCACCTGCACATGTCAGGGAGCATTGCACCTTACCAGTGCTCGTGGAAATCGAACGAGACGTAGGTGAGGCGTGAGCTGTTAAAGAGTAACACCTGCTTCAGATAAGCATCTCCAATAATCTTCTCCCTTCCTGCCTGGTCTACCAGGTTAATAATAACCTGTGGGAGTGAGAAAGAGGGGAAAAAAATCTAGTTTAATCAGGTGTTAGAATTATGTGATTTTTAAAATTAACTATTTGGATTTATATTTTAGAAATACTTTCTAGCTATACTTAGAATTTAATCCAATCAAGCCTCAGTTTCTTTCCATTAAAAGAGAATTTTCATTTGTTACTTTCAGGTTTATTAGAATTGCTGACATCAATGAGATTAGTAGTTTTTCAGTATATATTGTTCCTATGTACTGTCAAGTAAGTGAGAGCCAACTCCTAGTTGAGGCTCCAGTGGGTTTTCAGATGCTTGTGCCTTGTGGGGGAAAATACATATATTTATATGGATGTGTGTGTTATCTCCTGAAAATCCCTAAAAAGAGACAAATATGTCAAAATCAAGGTCGATACAAGACTTGGCAGCCATTTCATAAGGAAGAAGGCCGAAAAGACATTCTGCTTCGTTAATAATCACGGAAAGGAAAATTAAAACTATTATACACAAGATTATGAAAATTTATAAAAGACAGAAAATACCTCCTTTATGGGAGGTGCAGGGGAAGAGTGGGGGGGATGTGCAACAATGAAGAGAATTAATAAAAAACATGCCCCATTTTTGGCCAAGATGTGGGGTAGCTAGAACTCTAACATGTTTCTCTTAGTATAAATCATGCCACACCAGTCTGTAAGCCAGAGATTCCACTCCTACATGTACGCTTGACAAAAATGCATCGACCTTTTACCATAAGGCATTTGCAAGCACATTTATACCAGTACTGGACTTTTGGCTTTCGGCTTGGAGGAAGCCGTGGGGCAGCTGTCTTCAGCCCTCAAGAGTCTGGGTTCATCTGCCACCCGCCACCTCCACACTGCTGCCCAAGTTTGACCACAACGGGATCAAAGTCGTGTATTGAGGTGAACAAGTGGGGAAGCTGGTTGCCACGTCTGCTCTTGCCTCAAAGATCAGCCCTCAGGGCCGGTTTCCAAGGAAGGTTGGTGGTGCCATTGCCAAGCCCACACTGCTGGGTGATTAGAAGGGACTAAGGACTATGGAACTGAACGTTCAGGACAGACAGGCACGGACTGAGGCGGTGCCTCTGCCTCTGCCCTGATCGTCAAAGCCCCGATCATTGTTAACAACAACAACAAAAGGCTCTTCACGATATGTAAGTGTTGAAAACTATCTTCTCTGACATTATGAACTGCCTTTTCATTCTTCAATGGTCACTCTTGGAAAATAGAAGGAGGTCAAGTGGCACAGTAGTTAGAGAGTACAGCTATGAACTAAAAGGCCAGCAGTTCAAAGCTGGAAGATGCTCAACACCTGGTTCTTTCTTTAGGACCACTTATGAACTCGTCTGCTCTCAATCAGAACTAACTTGATGGCAGTGATGAGTTTAGGTTGGTAGGTAGTTTGTTGGTTGTTTTTGTTGCTATTATTTATAAATACACCTTCTTCACCTTAATAAAGCAAAAATTTTTTTTGCTATATAGAAATACTATTTAAGACCCAAAGCTTTTCTGTGTACTCTAAAAGTTTTACTGTCTTAGCTCTTTAATGGGTCATTTAGAACCATAATCCAATTGAAACTGATTTTTATGTATGGATTGACGTTCAACATCAAGAAAACAAAGATTCTCACCACTGAGCCAAATGGCAGCATCATGACAGATGGAGAGGAGACTGAGATTGTTAACTAAAGCTGTAGCTTGCTTGGCTCCACAATCAATACTCTTGGAACCAGAAGCCAGAAAATCAAAAGACTACTTGCATTGGGAAAATCTGCTATCAGAGACCTCTCCAGAGTACTGAAGAGCAACAAATGTTAGTCTAAAGATAAGGTGTACTGGATTCAAGGCATGGTCTTCGCAATTACTTGCTATGCACCAGAGAGCTGGACTATGACTAAGGATGACAGAAGAAGATGCCTTTGCATTGTGGTGCTGGAGAAGAGTACTTAACACACCATGGAACTGCTATCTCTTCCCATGAGATTAAATTGCCTCTAAAAACCTGCTAGAGGGTCAGGTAGGTCGACTGAATCAGTTCTGACTCAACGGCACACAACACAACCACACAGACTGCTAAGAGAACAGATCTGTTCTGAAGAGGTTAAAACAAGGCTGCTTCTTGGAGGCAAGGAGGTGAAACTGCATCTCACAGACTTTGTGCATGTTGCTAGGAGGGAACAAGTCCTTGGAGAGGGACATCATACTTGGAAGGGTGGAGGGACAGCGCAGGAGAGGAAGACCCTGGATGAGATGGATCGACTCGGTGACTGCGGTAATAGAGGTAGGAGTGTCGGAAACAATAAAGTTGGCTCAAGATAGAGCAGGGTTCAGAGCTGCTGTACACAGGGTCATTATGAGTCACAAGCAACTCACTGGCATATAACAACAACAACAACAGGTAGGATAGACAACTAAAGTAAAGTTCCTAGGTCCAATAACGTAAGCATGTAAGCATATTTGACTCAAGTTCATTATCACAGATATTAGTTGCCCTTGGCGAGATTCTGATTCAGACACTCTGAGGAATCTCTGGGGAGAACCAAAAACCTCTCAAGCCAGCACATGATCATTTGTAACACACACACAATCTACTGATACTCTCTCTAGCAAAGACTTCACCTTAATGACTAAGGTTCACCTGGCTCAAGTTATGACCTTTTCAACCACCTCATATGTGGGTGAAAATTGGAGAATGAAAAGAGAAGACAACCCATCAACAAACAAATGGATAGAGAAGCTGTGGTATATCCATACAATGGAATACTACGCTGCACTGAAAAACAAGGAACTCAAGCAATATTATTCAAAGTGGGTGACCCTGGAGGATATTATGATGAGTGAAAGATCTCAGACACAAAAGGACAAATACTGCATAGTGCCACTGTTGCAAAATGGGACTGACATCGGGCTGAGAAAGATGGGATAAATAACGTATACTGTATTGAAACAGATGAGGGACAGACTGTTTAAAAGGGATATGTGATTAGGTATTATTGTCATGACAGGAGTCCAGAACAAAGGCTGCACAGTGGAATGGACTTGGGGGCAGGGGTTGTATAACAATCAAAGAATTTTTCTTTTACTTTTCAAAGAGAAGAACAAACTGGGGAGGGGGGAGGGGTAGAAAAGTGCAACAATGAGAGAATGGAAATCCCCGGCGCTGGCTGAAAATCGCCTGTGACTTCATCCATAGCCACTGGTGAGAGTCAG